ACCCCACCTCCTGCCGCCATTTCCGCGTTCCTTGTCCCGGCGCATTCGCGTAGTTCGTGCTCCAATAATTTCCTTCTCAAATAACGTCCTAGAAATCCCTTGACCGGCTCCATGTGATTTGCACATAATACCCACCTGTTTAATTACATAATTAAAATCTAATTTATTCAGAGATCGATCTTTTATCTCCTTCTATCGTTAATAATTAAAAAGATTATATATATATATATAAAATCTTACTTTGTAAAATATAATATATAATAAATTATTTTGTAATATATTTAAACTTTTAATCCTAAAATTAATTTTTAGTATTTGATTTTTTTATTGACAATTTTTCTTCAAGATGTTTTAATTACATTAAGAAATTTCTAAAATAATTTTACATTACATGCAGGTACATTGCATTAAAATTATAGATTAAATGTGTTCACAAAAATGAAAGTACCTGAAATTATGATGCAACTGCAAGTTGGTGGTACTACAAGTGGTCTGACTCATGGTACCGATAATAGCAGGACACGATGAATGCCTAGTTCCTAAGAGTCCGCTGAAGAGTTCGCCCAGAGATGCTGCGTGTTGAAGATTTTCTAAAATAATTACCCTAGGTAGTTCATCAGCAGCATTTGAATCGCATCTTTCAGCGATGTGCGCGAGATACTGGCGCAATTCCTTGCTGGACTTATGATCGACATTGAAAGTCGCAACGGCAGCAGCATCCTTCGTGTCATTGTCAGTATCTACTAGAGCGTGTGCCAATTTTCCAGCTAAGTAACTCTTCCCTGTACCACTTGGACCGCACAAAATCACTCTACGATGTTCCGTCAGAAGAGAGATCAGTCGCTGAACGATGGAACGCGGTATCAAGGTATCCACCGCCAGCCAGGAATAGCCTGACAGCACTAGATAAATAGTTTTCACGTGGCCAACTAGATAGCCGCAGGGTAATAACTCAGGATGCTGAGAATCGGTAGTGCATCTAAAGTAGAGAGAAAAGTTTTAATTATTTTAGATGGCGATAAAATAGACAAATCTTAATAGGAAGCGCATCCATAGAATTTAAAATGTATCTATTGCATAATTAAAGTTGTATAAGTAAGTAGAGGTACCTTTGAATTTATATTATTTTAGTATTTTTTAATTAAACACGCACCTGGAAGCTTCGCCGAGGTGATACGCGGCGACACATTCGACGCCAAGACCCAGATTCGTCACAGGGTCCACTCGGGAAACATATTCCTTGAAGCAACGTCTCACTATAGAATCCAGCGCGTCCCAGCTGGTTTTATTGCTGATGCACACGTTGGCAATTACACAATGCGGTGGCTCGCCTATGGTGCCGTCGGCGCAGCTCCCGGTAATCAAATTATAGTTAAAATTTCGCTCACTGCCGAGATAAACGGCCACATTGATTCTCTTGCCGTCAGTGTCTTGCTCGAGAACTGGTTCCGTAGTTGTTGCGCTCGATGACACGACGGAGTGTTCGACCGGGACGTTAAGATCTTCCAGTTGATCGGCCGTGGAACTGACGTCGCCGTTTGACAATGCTGCGACACTCGACGCTACTTCAGTCATGCTGAAACGTCGATCTGGGTCACTGGGTAGAGAGGACTGCGAGGAAGTGAGCGACTTTGAGGTCACTAGTCGTTGGAGACGCTCATTGTTCTGCTTCAAGTTTAACATCTCGTACTATAAAGGAAAATGATAAATTCATATAAATAAATCATTTTTTCAGAGATATAAAAATTATATATGCTCTTTCTCTAAATAAACAATTTGAAATATTAATCCTAAATTGAATTCAGCTTCTCGAAATTGAACTTATTTAAATTAAAAAATATGAATTTCTTTGTTAGTATGAATTTTTTAAATAAAAACTCACTCTCATCTTGATGACCGTGTCCTTTAAAGACTCCAGCTGATGAGCCGAAGATAATGCTTCCAATCTGATATCTGTGAGCACCAAATCCTTCTCCCTCAATTGTTTCTTCAATTCATCCACATCTTCATCTTCTTTCTTGTACAATGCCGAGCTGCTCTTGCTTCCAGACAAAGGATTCTCATGATCGGGAGATTTCTGGCCGTTGCTTCTCACGGTTTGTGCTCTCGAAGACTCGTGTTTGGATGCGGTTGGCAGTCTAGGACTGTTGGGAGCGCTCAGATCACCGCCAGGGCTCTCCTTGCAGTCCTCCGCGTCAGAAACCGAACCATGCCGGTTTTTGCGCGACCTCGAGAAGGCCTTGGAGAAGGAGCTGCGTAACCAGCCCTTCTTTTTGTGATGACTGCTGGCCGAGCAGGCGCTGCTTAACGAGTTCAGAGACGTCACGCTATCCGCGGATAGCTGTCTTGCCATTGATGCACCCTGATGATTATTGCTACTGCTATTGCCGGTGCAGCCGGTGGTACCGGATTCGGAGTCACCTAAAGTATGACGCCGACCACTGTTCGCAGTTGGACCGTTGTTCAATCCAGCTTCGGCACTCTGCTTGCGGAGTCTCTCGATCGTTTCTCGCAGTTCCTGAAGCTCAGAATCCTGAAGAATCGCCGATAAAAAAAAATTTTTTTTGTAACAAAAACATTGTACATCTGCATCGAGTATCGAACGTGTGAATGATAAATAATTAATATTTTTAACGTTTTTACCTTTTTCTCGGCTGTAGCTGTGAGTTGCTGCAATCTCTGAGTCATATTGGACAGTGATTGTTCAAAAGCTGAGACCACATGTGCCTGAAACAAGTAAATAACATGCAATTTTCAATATTTATACATTTTTCAAATATTTTGAAATTCAAAATTTTCGTTAAAATTATTACATTTCATTATTCAAATAATACTATTATATAAATGTTTAGGCTTAAGTGTTAGTATATATATATATATATATATTGTATATAATTTTATTACACAATTTTATATTATACACAATGTATATATTAATTTTATTTTAATGTAAAACGCTACGAATTAATTCCAACACCTAATAATTACGTTGTGCCACATTGTACTATTATTTCCTTACTTAATACGCAAACATAGTTTATATTTATTAAAACATAAAAATGCGTGACATAAAATCCGTATAATTGTACATAAAAATATGACTCTATCAAAGCAATTTCTACGTTATCTTAAACAATACTTATATATTTTAAGCAGCGTCTGGCGAGGTAATTTCGATGAACGTGCGCGGGGCGGAGATTAATAGTCGTTATAATCTCTTTTACAAGAGGTACCTATCGCGCTGCCGGGTCGGAATATCAGACTCGTGTTTCTCGTCACGTAATTACTCTCTCAGGATCAAGACATGTTTTCAACGTTACGTTACGAGGCAAAGAAGGTAATCAGCCATGGCGTAGGAAGAAAGTGCTCGCGTCGACGAAACGCTCGATAATCTAAACTGGAGCATGTAAATTCTCTGTCGATTTCTTTCTTTGCTCTCTCTCTCTCTCTCTCTCTCTTCAATCCGATTTTCTTTTTGTCCATTCTCAAGCAACAACGGTCGATGGCTCTCATTATAAATATTGTTTTTTTTAACACTTTTGCTGTTGCGACTGTAAGTCTCGATTTAGATTACAAGGTTTAGATTACAGATATTTCATTTCAGCTTAAGATAAAAGTTCGCAGCAATGTTGCATCTTAATATCATAATTAAGTTTTGATAATTTTTTTCGAGAGAGTAAATAATAATGTAATCTCATTATAATGCGGATGCAGTGACAGTTTTATTCTCGATAACCATTTTCGATAGTAAAATTCTCAAAGCCATAAAGAAGTTGAGAGCCATTGTGTTGAATGAATGCGAAACACTTCCTAAAGAAACACTTCATTTGATGTAACGTAAAGCGAGATGACCCATACATACGTTACATGATGACTCACGCATTTTCCTTAATGACTTGTTTTCCTTTTCAATTTTTTGCAAAAGAAAATAAGAAGAAAATAAAAGAAAAAAAAACGAGCGCTTGCCGTGTTTATAATATTTAACGATGCAGCACAATTTTGGGTAATCTCGTTCGAATAACATTGTACAAATGATATAATCATATAGTTATACATACATAATTATTATTACATAAATATTATTTGCTTTTATCACTTATATTTTAATTGATTAAATGTTATGTATATTTTCTATTATTTTCTAAGATTTTTTAAGATTTATTAATAACGATTCACATTATTATTAATTATGTTCAAATTAAATCTAATATTAAATTAGTCTAATATGGTATTAAAATGTGTTTGATATTTGAATTTTGAATTTAAATTGTGAGGAGACAAAAAGCTTACTCTTTTTATAAAAAAAGAAAAACCATTTGGAGAACGTGAAACTTACAGTTCTTTCTAACAAGTGGAAAATATACATAACATTTAATTGATTAAATGTTATGTATATTTTCTATTATTTTCTAAGATTTTTTAAGATTTATTAATAACGATTCACATTATTATTAATTATGTTCAAATTAAATCTAATATTAAATTAGTCTAATATGGTATTAAAATGTGTTTGATATTTGAATTTTGAATTTAAATTGTGAGGAGACAAAAAGCTTACTCTTTTTATAAAAAAAGAAAAACCATTTGGAGAACGTGAAACTTACAGTTCTTTCTAACAAGTGGAAAATATACATAACATGCCTGCAAATCGTTATCTTCAAATTTTTTCGGCTGACCAGGTCGCTCCTTGTCATCCAAGTCGAAATCACCAGCTTTAAAACGTGCAAACCACTTCCTACACGTTTGCTCAGCCAGAGCATGTTCACTATACACATCCACTAAAATACGATGAGCTTCAGCTGCACTTTTGTTCATATTAAAGTAATGAAGCAAAACTCCCCGCAAAAACACTTTATCTGGCACAAATTTTGACATATTCAATGAATTATACAGTATTGTTATTTATGATTTCAAGAAAGGTTATGTACGGCAAATGACGTCCTATGATAGATGTTTACAATGTATACAGAACTATAGGTAACAACGAAATAGTGTACTGCTTGTGCCATCTCTTGTAAAACGCTACGAATTAATTCCAACACCTAATAATTACGTTGTGCCACATTGTACTATTATTTCCTTACTTAATACGCAAACATAGTTTATATTTATTAAAACATAAAAATGCGTGACATAAAATCCGTATAATTGTACATAAAAATATGACTCTATCAAAGCAATTTCTACGTTATCTTAAACAATACTTATATATTTTAAGCAGCGTCTGGCGAGGTAATTTCGATGAACGTGCGCGGGGCGGAGATTAATAGTCGTTATAATCTCTTTTACAAGAGGTACCTATCGCGCTGCCGGGTCGGAATATCAGACTCGTGTTTCTCGTCACGTAATTACTCTCTCAGGATCAAGACATGTTTTCAACGTTACGTTACGAGGCAAAGAAGGTAATCAGCCATGGCGTAGGAAGAAAGTGCTCGCGTCGACGAAACGCTCGATAATCTAAACTGGAGCATGTAAATTCTCTGTCGATTTCTTTCTTTGCTCTCTCTCTCTCTCTCTCTCTCTTCAATCCGATTTTCTTTTTGTCCATTCTCAAGCAACAACGGTCGATGGCTCTCATTATAAATATTGTTTTTTTTAACACTTTTGCTGTTGCGACTGTAAGTCTCGATTTAGATTACAAGGTTTAGATTACAGATATTTCATTTCAGCTTAAGATAAAAGTTCGCAGCAATGTTGCATCTTAATATCATAATTAAGTTTTGATAATTTTTTTCGAGAGAGTAAATAATAATGTAATCTCATTATAATGCGGATGCAGTGACAGTTTTATTCTCGATAACCATTTTCGATAGTAAAATTCTCAAAGCCATAAAGAAGTTGAGAGCCATTGTGTTGAATGAATGCGAAACACTTCCTAAAGAAACACTTCATTTGATGTAACGTAAAGCGAGATGACCCATACATACGTTACATGATGACTCACGCATTTTCCTTAATGACTTGTTTTCCTTTTCAATTTTTTGCAAAAGAAAATAAGAAGAAAATAAAAGAAAAAAAAACGAGCGCTTGCCGTGTTTATAATATTTAACGATGCAGCACAATTTTGGGTAATCTCGTTCGAATAACATTGTACAAATGATATAATCATATAGTTATACATACATAATTATTATTACATAAATATTATTTGCTTTTATCACTTATATTTTAATTGATTAAATGTTATGTATATTTTCTATTATTTTCTAAGATTTTTTAAGATTTATTAATAACGATTCACATTATTATTAATTATATTCAAATTAAATCTAATATTAAATTAGTCTAATGGTATTAAAATGTGTTTGATATTTGAATTTTGAATTTAAATTGTGAGGAGACAAAAAGCTTACTCTTTTTATAAAAAAAGAAAAACCATTTGGAGAACGTGAAACTTACAGTTCTTTCTAACAAGTGGAAAATATACATAACATTTAATTGATTAAATGTTATGTATATTTTCTATTATTTTCTAAGATTTTTTAAGATTTATTAATAACGATTCACATTATTATTAATTATGTTCAAATTAAATCTAATATTAAATTAGTCTAATATGGTATTAAAATGTGTTTGATATTTGAATTTTGAATTTAAATTGTGAGGAGACAAAAAGCTTACTCTTTTTATAAAAAAAGAAAAACCATTTGGAGAACGTGAAACTTACGGTTCTTTCTAACAAGTGGAATCTTTATTTGCAGAATAAAAACATAATGGTTGAACTCGCTTTGATTGCTATATCCCGTTACGACGTAAAGATCCCAAGAGATTCCTTCAGGATCGACCTTTAAATTTCGAGTACCGGAGTCAGCTGTTCGCTATTGTTTTCACGAACATATATAGTACCATCTTCTTCTTCTTCCTCGGAAATACGCGATCATAAAATTCTATGAGGACAATCAGTGGGACTTTTGCTTCGCAAAGGAACGGTGAGTATGGAGTTTCGTCAGGATCGTGAACAAAGGGATCGGTGGGAGCCGGGAATTCCGTTCGCGTGTAGGTGCGAGTCTAGAGTCGCACGTAATTCCGGAGGAATTATACCGCTCATAAAACAGTAACAGCAAACGTGGGACATGTAATTCGCTGCCGCGAGCGGGTGTCTCGGGGCCCATTGTCCTACCTTATTACTTTAACGTGCAACGTGAAATGACTTTCAACGTGATTCTGCAGCTGGGATATGCGGTCTCTCTTACGGACGTTGACCTTTATACTTTTGTAGAAAGGTTGTTGAAACTCGAGTAAAATTTGTACATTTGATCAAGCAGTATAAAAAACAGATAGTAATTTAAATATATAAGATATATCATACTCCAATTGTAAATTTCAGAATATAATATATTTTTGTCAAAGTTAATATAAAAATCGTAATATATAGAATTAATTAAATTAAGTTAAATTAAAAAAATTAAGTCGTACGATTTTCTAAGACTTTACTCTATTGTAAGAATTCTCTATAAATTAGTCACGATGAAATACTTTATGTAAGTCTTAAAAAAAAAGAACTGAATATACTTTTAGAAATAAAATAATTTTGAAAGAATGAATTTCTCAAAGAACATTTAATTAGAAGGAAATAGTGTTTGAATTCCGTGCGTGTGCTCAAAAAAGATAAAAATATTTACTCGAGACCGAATGAGGTCGTGAGTCCACTTGTATAAGCCTCGGTATGGGCTGTAAATATTGGCTCCCACGCTCGCTGTTAAAGTGCCCGACTTCACCTACCGCCG